CAATAACTCCCGAACGGATGGACGTAGGATGACGTATTTAGGCTCATTTTGTAGGGGACGACGAGATCTACAATTTCTGTGCAAAAAGAATTCGCTAGTGCCAATGGTTAACGAGTTATAGACGAAAAACGAAAAACAGTTTTTTGCAATTTACTCGCAAACTGTTGATGCTAGCGGAAAATTATTAGATAGGATTTGTAGATCTCGTCGTCCTCTACAAGAAAGGTGCACATACTATTTTTTGACACGACGGGCGAGAAATTAATCGATAACAAAAGCCATCGAAGTTGTAATTATATCATTTTCCGTCTTTTCCGCCCTAGTGCGGGAATGTGTTATTTTGCGCCCGCTAAACATGCACGAGAAACCGAATTTCGCGCCCGGAGTGTCAAAAACTAATTTGTCATTATTGACATAGTTTCATTCTTGACCTCTGCTCCCATCTAATCATCCTATCTCTGGTATTCCTATTCCTCTCCTGTTTTGGCCACTGGACCTCAATTACTCATAGAAACTAGTTATAAGGACAACCAAAATTGCAGGTTTCCGAGGTACATGCTTGAATACTCGAGTTTCAACATAAGAATTGTATTTCATTCCAAAGGAATTCAACAGTAGACGGCAATAAATTGATTGGTTATTGTTTGCCCATTCTAATCTATTTTCTCTAAATTTGTATCGAACACAAATCAATTATTTTTAACTGTCAATTTCACGTACAACAGTATTATATCTCTCTCAGTTATTATTATTTTTTATTGTTATATATTTGATACACGTTACCTTATTTTTATAGTTTTATTCAATTTTCACATTGTTACTACACACCAACGGTTTTTCCAAACCTATATGCTAGTAATAAAAAATAATATTCCAATATCGCGACGCGTAAATAGAAACTCCTCTCTTCATTCCATCGTTTTATTTCTCTCTTCGTATTCCAATTACTTTCAATAGACACAATCGATATTGATACGTTATGTAGTAGTACATTGAAAACGTGCGCGTGACACTTGTATAACAGTTACCGCGCGGCTCGACGCGACGTTGCGAGAGAACGCGATCTCTGTTTCAAATTTCAATAAGTGCGGGACGGTTCTAGTCGACTGGACGAAGCGCTGAAATTAAACCCAGCCGTCGTCGCACCGTTCGATAGCCTTGTCCCAGCGGTAGATGCAAAATTCTCGCGTCAGTAATCAAACCCGTTGAATCTGACAAGCGACGATCCTCGATTCGACGACGCGTTCAGGAAGTGTCCATAGATCACACGGCGCGTTGCCTGCATCGGATTTCCTGACGAACATCATAACTTTTCTAAACTAATCAATTTTCGGGCTACATGCGCGGGTGGCTCAAGGGACTCCGGCTCCATTTTGCACGCACGTGTGCAAAATACGTTGATCGGACTAGCAGCAGTGAAGCATTTTTGGACATGTGTCTGTGTACAAACAGGATGTGCCAAAACTAGTAACATACTGAAATGGGAGGTTCCTGACGTAATTTTAAACAACATTTTCCTTAGCGAAAAAGTTATCCAAGACGTGGTTAAGGAGTTATTAACAAAAAACCCCGACCAATCAGAGCGCTCGGTTGACGCGATCTACGAATCGGGAGCGTTGGTTCGGATCCGGACGCCCAGCCTATCAATAATCTATCTTTTTCCCATCCATTCCATTTGAATAACGATTAAATATATTAATTG